CAGGGATAAAACATTTGAAATAAAAGAAAAATCGTAAAAACAGACTATACCGCGGACTAGATGATGACTTGTTATTATTGATTCTGTGGCGTGTTCTTAGCATGTGTGGGGTAGGTGCATGTGCGCGCGTGAATGCGTGGGTGCGTGTGTGTACCCTAAACGTAAATCTCTTTTGCGTAGGTACTCACTTAATTCTCACTTCGATTCTACTCGGTAACGTGAAATACGTTCGTTATTCCACATGGATGCAGAACGTGCATGCGATAGCAGTAAGACTCTCACTTTATGCGAATACGCGCAGCGGTGGCAAGCTTTCGTGCAGACAGTACCTCGGTGTAATCTGCGGGGAATGGTTCTCGAACGCGGTTTTAGAGGCAGTTCCGAATCTTTTCAAATCTTCTAATATAAGTACACATCTGGTGGTGGCCGAGTCGTTGTGATACCGTTCGCTAAAACCGCTGTCTGGAAAGCAAGTGAATTCATCCGACAACTGTATGCATAAAGATGACGAAGGTAAACGCGATGTATAGAATATTATACATCGAATCAAGAGTGGGAGCATACGCATACGCACGCACGCACACATAGTTAATTTATTCTTTCATCCCTTCTCTTTCACTCTCTTCCTCCCTCTCCCTCTCTCTCGCTCCCTCCCTCTCCCTGCCTCTCCCTCTCTGTCCCTAACTCTCTCACTCTCGCTCTCTTTCGCTCCATATATATAAAAAAAATAAAAAAATAAAAAAAAATATTATATATTGCGTTCATGGTATTTACGTTCGTGTATTTCACACGCTACGACACGAGAGAGTAATGGCCGGGAGCAGCCTCGCCCGTAGCACTCCAATCGCGTCGGCTACAAAACAACAACAACAACAACAACAACAACAACACACAACAAACAACAACAACCAACAACTAACGTGAAAGCAGATTACCCTCTGCTTCACTCATAATGCATGCTACCTCTCCGCTCAGGTCGCCAGCCGGTCCGCGCTTCAGAACGGCCGGACACGCGATGATGCGAAATTCCTCCGAAAAAAAAGTTGCCGTGCGAGTGCCGGCGCGAGACGGAGATGAACCACACGACAGGGTTTAGTATAACGCGTTTTACTAAGATGCGCGGACACACCATGCGCATTATTCGCACGTGTCCGCAGCGATTGTAAATCGCAGCGAAATTCGCATGGTGGTGTGCGCTGCAAGCGCGGGGGAATTTTCGCTGGGATTTCATCGCATCGAAATTCCGCGCGCAATCAAACAGTGTTTGCATATTTTCGCTGGCGGACGTGCGGACGTGGCGAACGTGCGAATAATTCACATGGTGTGGCCCAGGCTTAAGCAGCGCAATCGCTTGCTCATCGCCCGACTGGCATTCCAACTGCACTCCTGCGGGCGGTCACACCGCCTGTAATGATTTCCGAGCGCGGTGAAGATCACGTGGAGGTGATTTCCAACAGGCTTTTTCCTTGCGCTGGAAACCCATTGAATACTGTCTCTCTTTTCCGCTGCCCCCCCATAGGCTAAGAGTAGTAGGTTTGCTCGAGGCCGTCGTCTTGCCGCGGTCTCTCTCCCCTTCATTTCTCTACTCGTTCTTTCTCTGTGTGCCTACTCGTTTTCTCAGGCCTTCTCTCTCCTCTTCTCCTCTTTCTCTCTCCTCTTGCATCTCTCTCTCGTGTTGGCTCTATCAATATTCCACCTCGCGCTGTAAACCCCTGTTGAAATACTTTCACGGCTTCTCCGCTTTCTCTTCCCTCATCCCTTCCCCGGCGGTAGGTTCCCTGAGGGCGTCGTTTGCCCGGGGTAGAAGTTGACGTTATCTCTCTCTCTCCCTTCTTCCTCATTCTCATCTTCTATACATTACGTGCGGCTGGTATATGCTTTGCATGCGAGTGCGTGTGTGCGCACGTGCTTTGTGTGAATGCGTGCGTGCGTAGCCTTGTGCGTGCGTAGTATACGTGTGCGTATGTGGCATAGTGTGGTGCGCGCTTGATATACCGTTGTGGCGGGGTGCTTGTAGTCTGCTGGCGCAGCTTGTGTGTGCGCCGTGGTACGCGCGTGCGTACGGCGCGTGCGTGTGATCCGCTATTTGAGCGTGTCTTCGTGCACGCGGTGTGCGTTTGGTGTAGGCAGCGTGCGTGCATACGTCGTGTGATGCTTGCTCTAGTGATGCGTGCGGCGTTAGCGCGATATTTGACGAGCAGCTAGCACGCATGAGGAGATCAGGGGGAGGGTTGTACAAGACTAATTACAGAGGAGGAAATGTACCAGCCTGCTCAGCCTGAGTAACTACTCTGTCAGCTACACATGTGGAGCGGGTACGACAGCGGGACAGACCAGAGAGAGGGGCGATAAGAGAGAGCGAGAGCGAGACGACGAGGGGGAAAGAAGGGGGAGAAAGGGTAAAAAGAAAAAGAAAGAGGGGGAAGAGAGAAAAAGGGAGAGAGACAGAGAAGAGAGAGAGAGAGAGAGAGAGCGAGAAGAGAGAATAGAGAGAGAGAGAGATGAGAGAGAGAGAGCGTGGAGCAGGTGTCGAGAGAGAGAGAGGTGAGAGAGAGTGTGAGGAGAGAGAGAGAGGTGAGAGAGATGAGAGAGAGAGAGAGAGAGGAGAAGAGAGAGAGAGAGAGAGAGAGAGCGCGAGAAAAGAGAGACTGGGAGTGAGTGAGTGAAGTGAGTGCAGTGAGTGAGTCGAGCCTGGTGAGTGAGTGAGTGAGTGACGTGAGTGACGAGTGAGATGAGTGATGAGCTGAGTGAGTGAGTGAGTGAGTGAGTGAGTGAGTGAGTGAGTGAGTGAGTGAGTGAGTGAGTGAGTGAGTGAGTGAGTGAGTGAGTGAGTGAGTGAGTGAGTGATGGAGAGAGTGAGTGAAAGAAGGCGAGGCGAGAACAGAGCGAGGTTATGCGCAAAATGAAATCACCGCACGTTGGCCTCATAGACTTTACTGCCGAGATAGGCAGCCCACGCGTGCGATATATATATACACATATATCTATAAATATATATTATGTAATAAGTGCAGAATATAGGGCCGTAGTTGCCATGGTAATAGCGCACAATAGCAAGAGTCTATGCGGCGGATTAGTTTTATTACGGATGCGATTACGTACGTATGTGCGTGCGTTCGCTGGGGCGTGCGTGCGTGTGTGCGTGCGTTCGCTCGGGTGAGCGCGAGATAGAAAGATATCGGGAGAGAAGGAGGCTGGAGATTCTCTCATAGCTGCCGAGCCAGGAAATTGGCGTGCCCGCGAGCGATGTAAGTCAATGGCGGCTAGAATTTCATCCGCCGATTTCTTTATTGCGATTTCATTGATGTGAGATTAATGTCATTAGGTGAGGATTAAGTCAGCGTGCGTGCATGTGTACCCCGCAACCGCGCACAGACCAACGCTAGATAAATGGATGTCACACACACACACACACACACACACACACACACACACACACACACACACACACACACACACACACACTCACACCGATGTTATGCTGTCCATACTTCACTTGCTACGCGGAAATCTTTTAGCATTCTCCGAAATTCTTGCTTGTATAAAAATATAAACGCACTCTGATTTGTGTTCCATCAGTGAGGTTCCACGACCCTGCCGTATTGCTGCATTACTGATAACTTTGACCGCCGTATGAGGAGACTGGTGTTTGCTGCCTCCCGCCGCCTCCGTAGTGTGTGTAAGTGATAACTGGAGCTTGCTCCTGCTGCTGCCTCTCTCCCGCGTACGTCGCTACGGGTGCGTACCCTTGCGGAACCTGCACTCTGTAGCTGGCGCCGGAAACAGGCACCCTGTATCTGGTGACGACCGGAGAGGGCGCCACCTGGTAGCCGCTACCAGTAGAGGGCGCTGCGTAGGTGGGCTGTGCCTTGCCGACGTGGATCTTGGCTGGCTCGATGCTCACAGGCTGGTAACTGACGTCACGGGTCGGTTTAGCGAAATCGTAGGCGAGTCCTGAGTTGTACTTGCCGTCGGAGCTTGCCTCCTGTAAGAACTCCTTCAGGATCTCCTGATCCGCCTTCCGGCTCGCCGTGAACTCGGCGATGACGACGCCGCTACCGGATCCGATTCGGTCGGCCGAATCGCTGTTGAACTGACGTGCGAATCCGGATCTGTAGCGGTTTCCGACTTGCTCCTTGACGCGGCGTGGCGGCTGCGCGCCGTGCGGCACGTGGCGGAGAGCCTGGTCGCGCACGCTGTTGAAATTGAAACTGAAACCAGACGGTTGCCTGACGTCGCCTGTCGGCGCCACGATGGGAGAGATAGTGCGGCGAGCGCGCTCTATCGGACCCAGCTGGTAGCCAGCCTGAGCCTGGGCGGCAGCGGTGTACTGCGGCTGCGCGCGTCTGTAGCCGGCGCCTTGCAGACGATACGCTGCCGGCTGCACGGACACGTAACTTCCCGGCTGCTGCCGGTAGGTGGCTCTCTGCACGGGCTGGTAGCGGATCTCGCCGCGTGGTGGCGCTCTGTACGTTGACTGGTGCTGTTGGCGGGTCGGATACGGATTGTAGGAATTGTATCCTCCGCCGTTACCACCGCTAATCTGAGCGATGCCGTCCCGATCTCCCCTCCAAGGTTGAGCATGAGCAAGACTGCTCAATAGGAGCGCTGCGATCGCCAGATTCATCCTGTCAGCTAGATGAACAGCGGCCATATTGTTAACGATATAAACATGAATAATTTACCATAATATAGATATGAAAAATTATATATCGATCAATTAACGCGCTTTTTTAGTGGTGATAAATGTTTTAATTAATGACCTTTAGAAATATATCTGTAAACTATATATCCAATTAAGTTGACTATATACTGTTTTCCCAATGCTACGATTCTGTTTGATCAACGATGACGTCACAGAAAGTGAGCCATATCGTATCATCCGTAGTTATTGTATTGACGCTTCGATCAGATGAGAATGGGTCGTAGAATCGAACTAGGAAATCGATATTTAGAATCTACATGATCGATCCTTGTTGGCACGTGACAGCACGTCTCAATCCGCCATGCCGCTAGGTGGCTTATGCTAGTGAATGTTGCCCGCGCCGCGTGTCAATGTTGCCTGCAACGATGACGTATGCGTCTTACCTGTTGTGATTATGATATGCGGGCAGGAGCAGCGTGATGATAGATCCGTCCTTATCGTCAACAGCTTCTGAAACGGAGAGTGACGTCGCTTATATATGACGCGCGCAGCGAAGCGACCGCCGAACACCTGCTCACGGATTTAACCTACATTCATTGGACAGCCGCAGACAAAGAGCGTCTATCTGTCAGAGCTGCTGATTGGCTGCCTGCAACCCCTACTCCAAGCACGCTCGTGTGCAGAACAGGAGATAAGAGGGTTGGAGACAATTGGGTCGCGATCGCACAGAAACATGGCTCTTTACGGTTAAAAGACAGCAGCCGGTTGTTAGAAGGTTGATTAAAGGAATTCGGTTTTTGTTTATGCAGTTTCTTGCACGTCGGAAGAGATCTGTGTGGGGCGGGGATGTAGGCCTACTGATTAGTTATCCTTAGTAAAAACGCGTGTTGTGTGTACGCAAGCGCCCTAGAAAATTACCGAATAAGTTAAATAAACACGATGTTACTTCAGATTAGTTTACAACAAAGCTTAACGGCAACTGTATGGGCTAGTAGTGGACTAATCTATGTATGGGCTAGTAGTATTTTCTTGTGATGGCTCGCTTAGAACGGGGCAAATCTGTGTATTGGGTTGTAAATCTGTACAAGAAGTAATTAATAAGTTATTTGTATTGATAGTTATTGATGCTTGTATAAACATATTAATATTAATAATAAATATATCTACTTCAATTCGAGGTTGTAACGAGTTGTGTAGTTTTGTGGTGTGATTGCGCAGACTTGTAACATGTTGACTTGATCCGACCTGCTTTTATAAACGACTCACTGGTTTCGGGTCGATTCACATGGCAATCTCTCAGTTGGTTCCTGTTTTACTTTGCAAATTCATTAGTCATTTCAACGCAAGCCGCTTCAGTTCTGCTGACACGATGTAAAAGAGGAATCGACCTGTAAATGAATAATCTACATTCTACATCTTCTATTTTACATTCTATACTCTTACATCTAATTTTCGACAGCAAGGGTTTAGATTTTGCGGACATGCGTTATGGGTATCGCACCGGCTCTACAGGGATTCGGTTAGATTCGCTATCTGTAACGTGAGCGCAGAGCTGCCTACAGCGATAGAGCTATGCATGGACATGAAAGAAAGCGTTATGTAATTTGTTTGCAAAAAAATGCAAAAATATTGTTACAAAATGGTTTGTTTAATTGTCGGAGCGGTGGGAAGCGGGAAGGCAGGCGAGGTACTATCTCTCACCGAGTTCGTCTAGGATATTTTTAATCAAAATATTTACACAGTAGCGCTCTCGTTAGCCAGCTACAGTATGCGATGCTCATTGCGATGGCAGTTCGGTGGTGCGTTCTTCTTAACTTTATAGTGCACCTGTGGATTTATTGATATACGTATAATTATAGGTTATTATAATCTATAGAAAATCGATGGCAATTATCGTCTTTGGAACGAACCTATTACGATCGTTGTTGCACAATGATTGGTTGTTATCCGCCGACGCTCTTATCGGGTCTTCACGAGCGACGTTTACTTGTCACGTGAATGCTCTGATTGTTCTGCGTCACAGAAACATAACCGTTTTCACTCTTCGTTTCGTTTCGTTTGACCGGTGAGAAAACAAAAGTGATGGCTGTCTTTCGCTGCAAAAACACCATAATTGTTCTGACAGATACTAAAGCTAACACACATGCAGAGCAAACAAGCTAGCCATGCACGCACACACACGCACGCACGCACGCACGAATGCACGTACACGCCCACGCACTCACGCACGCACATACACATGGACGGACGGACGGATAATTATGTGTGTGTGTGTGTGTGTGTGTGTGTGTGTGTGTGCGCGCGTGCGTGTATGTGTGTGTGCGTGTGCGTGCGTGTATGTGTGCGTGTGTGTGTGCGATTGCGTGTATGGGTGCGTGTGTGTGTGCGCGTGCATGTATATGTGCGTGTGTGTGTGCGCGCGTGCGTGTATGTGTGCGTGTGTGTGCGCGCGTGCGTGTATGTGTGCGCGCGTGTGTGTATGTGTGCGTGTGTGTGCGCGCGTGCGTGTATGTGTGCGCGCGTGTGTGTATGTGTGCGTGTGTGTGCGCGCGTGCGTGTATGTGTGCGTGTGTGTGCGCGCGTGTGTGCGTGTATGTGTGCGTGTATGTGCGCGCGTGCGTGTATGTGCCACTGAACTATAACAATATTTGTTATAGTTCAGAGGTGTGTGCCTGTGTTTCTGTGTATGCGCGCATGTGCGTGCGTACGGGTGCATGTGTGCGTGCATGTGCTTACATAGGCGCGCGCGTGTGTCTTTGAGGGGATTCGTGCTGTGCACAGAGCCAAGCAAACAAAAGTATAATTATGACCCTATATATAATACACGTGAATTACGTAGATAGCCATCGTAGAAAGTGAGTGTTCCATAACGGCAATGGTGCGAAACGTAAATAGTGTGGGTAGTATAGGCTGCGTAACAGTACTGCTTGGTAATTACAGAAAACTCTCTCCTCATGAACGCACGCACATAGCATATATATATATATATATAATATTATATATATATATATCGCCGCTGGAATAGAGCATACTCTTGTCTGGGCATGAAGTGTCGTGAATCTAGGTCAGTCCGTATAACGGGTTGATGAGTGGATTGCAAATACAATTATTAACGATAAACCACTACCTTATACTCGCCACACCTGCACAGGTAGATTGACACCTGGGTGGCGGGTTATATGCTCGGTATATAGAAACAATGCCCATGACTAGCTCCCGTTGTGAATAGCCGTCAGTAGTAGTTAAGCAACCAGGTAATATTCTATCTCATTCACGTAACTTCCTGGTAATTAAAATTAAGGGCTTCGGAAGTTCCGTTCCGATAAAATTGTTTCCCCGTTTCCCCCAATGCGGGGGTTGGCAAGCTTGCATTGGAAAGAAAATGATGTTCCATTACTGAGGGCAGGTTCACGCGTAAGAGTACGTACCGCTTATATCACAGTACGTAGCGCATCACATACGTACGTACGACATACGTACGTCACACAGCACGTACGTACCACTACGTACGTACACACACGTACGTAGCACATACGTACGTACACCACACGTACGTACACATACGTACGCATACATACGTACATACACATACGTACGTACACATACGTATCGTACACAATAAGTAACTACACACACGTACGTACACACACGTACTCACACATACGTACGCACCCATGCGTACGCACAGCATAGTACGCACCACATACGTACGTACACATGCGTACGTACAATGCGTACTACACATCGTACTACACATACCGTACGAACACATAGCGTACGCACACATGCGAGAACACATTACGCACGAAACATACATACGCACACATGCGTACGCACACAATACGTCGCGCACACATACGTAACGTACACATACGCAACGCACCACGAACGTACGCACACATACGTACGCACACATACATACTAACACATACGTTAACGCACAAATACGTAACGCAACATACGTAGCGCACACATACGCACGCCACGACATACGTACGCACACATAGCACCACACATACGTAGTACACATACGTACTCACCACATACGTACGGCACACATACGTAGGTACACACTACGTACGTAGCAGCATACGTACGCACACCATACGTCACGTACCATGCGTACGTACACATGCGTACGTACACATGCGTACGTACACATACGTACGAAACATACGTAACGCACACATGCGACGTAGCACATGCGTACGTACTACATGCGTACGTACACATGCGTACGTACACATACGTACGAACACAGTACGTAACGCACCATGGCGTACGTACACATGCGTACGTAACACATGCGTTCGTAGCACATGCGTACGTACACATACGTAACGAACACAAGTCGTACGCTCACATGCGTTACGTACACAATTACGTACGTACACATACGTACGCAGCACATACTACGTACAATGCGTACTACACATGCCGTACGTACATCATGCGTACGTACACTATACGTAGCGAAATCACATACGTACCACACATGCGTACGTACACATGCGTACGTACACATCGTGCGTACACGTAGCACGCACAATTCGCGACGTACGTAGTCACAATACGTAGCGTATACATACTACGTACACATACGTACGTACACAATGCTACATCATTGCGTACTACTCATGCTACGATACACATACCACGATCAACATACGTACGTTACACCATTGCGTACTTACACATACGTACGTACACATACGGAAAACGATCAACATACGTACGTACACATGCGTAACGTACACATACGTACGTACACATACGTACGATCACATTACGTACGTACACATGCGTACGCAACACATACGTCGTACACATACGTACGTACACATATACGTACACAATACGTACGTACACATACGTAGTACACATACGTACGTACAATACCACGATTCACATACGTACGTACACATCGACGTACACAACGTACGTACCCATTACGTACCGATCACGATACGTACGTAACACATGGTACGCACCACATACGTACGTAACATACGTACGTACACATACGTACGTACACATACGTACGTACACATACGTACGTAGCACATACGCACGCACACGTACGTACGTACACCAATACGTACGTACACATACTACGCAGCACATCATCGTAACGTACACATACACGTACTACACAAACGTACTACACATCGTACGTACACATAACGTCCGCACACATACGTACGTACACATACGTACGTACACATACTACGTACACATACGTAGTACACATACGTACGTACAACATACGCACGCACACGTAGGTACGTACACATACGTAACGTATACATACGTACGTACACATACGTACATACACATACGCTAACGTACACTCGAGTATTTTCGCCCTGCCCGCAAATGGCACCCCCCCGGAGCAGCGTCCGTCCCGCGTTATTACACATACGTACGTACACAAACGCACGCAAGGATGCACGTAAGGATCCACGTGTTGGCGCGCCTGTTCAGTGATAAAAAGTTGTGAATCGCGAATCTGCAT